TGAAATTGTTGTATAACAACGCACGCATCGCATGAACACTTTATGGTCCCGCGAGCCACAGGTAAAAGATATCGTTGCTAAAATTAACTTTTAGAACATTTGGAATACTTTCGTTTGGTTGTATTACGCATAACTTCATATAGAGTGTTTGGAATGCTTTCGTTTTCGTGTGGATTACGCAATTAAGATTGGATACTGTGTCATCGTTCATTTCCGGTGTTGCTGTCGAGAAATCTGCAATCACGGTAAGTGATAAATTATTTATTTGTTCATGATGAGTGAATTGAAAGCGATTAAAGCTAACAAAAAGAGTTTAAAATGCAGTATCAGAAAGTTTGAAAATAAGGTAAATTCTACAGTGGATGAAGCAGATATTTCCTTATTGGAGTTATACGAATCAAAAATATTAGAATTTAAAAAGGAATTAAGTAACATTTTCGATTCTTTATTTGCACATTGTGAAGAAAAGGACACTGACGAATTCATTAAGGAAAAGGAAAATGTAGTAGATAATCTCGATGAAATTCATTTGAAAATTAAAAGAAAAAAAAAATTTCTGAGATCAGTTCTCAAAGGAATAGCTGTTCAAATGAAAACGGTTCGAGTAAAGACATAATTGTTTCGGATATAAAATTACCTAAATTCTAAATTGTCTCTTCTAATATTTAGTGGGAAAATTGAAAAATGGATTGAATTTGAGGATTTATTTTCCGCAGCTGTACATAAAAATAGCAAATTAACTAATGCGCAAAACTTGCAACATTTAAAGAGTTCGTGTAAGGCAGACGCTTTAAATATTATTCAGTCCATTCCAATTTCAGATTCGAATTATGACATAGCATGGAATCTGTTGGTTGAGCGCTATTGCAACAAAAAAGATTTGATCAATTCTATCATAAAGAAATTAATTTCTATACCTCAAACGAGTGATTCTACTTCGTCGCTTTTAAAATTTATCGATAAGGTGCATGAATGTTTACGATCCTTGGAAGCATTGGAGCAAAAGGTGGAAGAATTTTCAGACACGTTAATTGTTTATTTATTAGTTGAAAAGTTGGATAGAAATACTCGGTGTTGGTGGGAAAGGTCACTTAAAAAAGACGAGATAGGAACGGTTAAACAACTGACATGTTTTTTTGAAGGAACACGCTCGCACCCTATCACATTACAAACCTCCGCATGGGGAATCGAAACGTTCATTTAATACCAAAGCTCTTACATCACTTCACTTTCGGAAAATTCAAAAAATTGTCCTTATTGTAAAGCTGATCATTTATTGTTGAAATGTGCGCAATTCTTAAATCTAACAGTCAAGAAACGATTTGAATTTGTAAAGACAAAAAAACTATGTTTCAATTGTTTATCTTTGGTCCACACAATCAAGGACTGTAAAAGTTCTAATACATGCAGAAAATGTCAGAAATTTCACAATTCGCTCTTACATTTTGATCGAAATGAAGAAAATTTCGATAAAGCAAATGGCACATCGAATCAAATCACAAACAAGACTAATAAATTTTAGCAGTAATCTTTCTCCAAATGCTGATATACATTTACTCCATTGGCAAGCAGCCAAAAGGTTAGTGACACTAATGAAACCAACCAAGCAAAGTCCAATAACGGTACTGCGCTGAATATTTTCAGTTCTTTTAATAAACAAGTTCTACTTTCAACTGCAATTATTTTCGTTAAGGGTAATGATGGAAAATTTATCTCGCTGAGAGCCTTGCTGGATTCCGGTTCTCAAAATAATTTTCATTACTAAACAAGGGGCTGAGTTATTGAATTTGAAGAAAAGAAAAATAAACGCTTCTATTTCAGGTATCAATGGAACAGTTATGAGTGTTAAGGAAAAAGCTGTAGCAACCATCGCTAACGCTACTAGAGATTTTATTCGTACCTTACAATTTTTTGTTGTTCCAAAAATAACTCGCGTAACGCCTGCTAGATATATAAACATTCCTGATGTTAAGCAGTTGCAACTCATTGGTTTAGCTGATCCAGAGTTTTATAAACCTGGTCAAATACATGTTTTATTATCTAACGAAATATTTTTTGATTTACTGGGAACAAATAGAATAAATATGCAAGACCTGATTCTCCATCAGTCAGTTTTTGGATACATCGTTAGCGGGTCAGTGCGCATGCCGCAGCAAGGCAGTGTTGATAATTATTGTGGGTTTGTGGAAAATGGGGATAATTTATCTGACAACATGAGAAGGTTTTGGGAGATTGAAGGTATTAATGAAGCAAAAAAAGTGAAAAGTCAGGAAGAGGAATTTTGTGAACAGCACTTTCTTCGTACACACGCGAGGCAAGATGATGGCAGATATGTAGTGGAAATGCCAATTAAGGAGGAAGGACTTAGCCTTTTAGGCGAATCGAGAGAAAACGCTAGCAAAAGACTGAATTATCTACTTAAACGCTTCACTCGCAATCCCGCAATGAAACACTTATACGAAGATTTCATTAAGGAATATAATAAATTAGGCCATTCCGAAGAAATTGATGAAGGGGATAGCTCTAGTTTCTCATATTATCTTCCTCACCATGGGGTTTTCAGGCCCGAGAAACCTAGCACTAAACTTAGGGTAGTGTTCGATGCCACTGCTCCTACGACTACTGGAATTTCGTTAAACGATATTCTGCTGAATGGAGGGTTAGTTCAAGACGAACTATTTGATATTATTTGCAGATTTCGAACGCATAAAATTGCCTTCACAGCAGACATTGTAAAAATGTATCGTCAGATTTTGATTAAAGAACATCAAAGAGATTTATTACGCATCTTATGGAAGAGTAGTGAAGAAGAACCAGTTAAGGTCTATAGACTGAAGACTATAACTTACGGTACTTCCAACGCACCATATCTAGCAACACGCACACTTAATCAATTAGCAGAAGACGAGAAAAACAATTTTTAGTTAGCAGCACCAATAGTACAAAGGGATTTTTATGTCGATGACGTACTCACAGGAGTGTCATACTCTAATAGAGGCTAGTTGTAATTGATTAACCTATTATCACGTGGAGGAATGCGTCTGCACAGATGGTGTGCTAATCATCCTGACCTTTTGCAGTTTCCGAATGGACAAGAGGAATATTCTTTCAGTAATTTCGATGACGATCAGAGCATCAAAACTTTAGGATTATTATGGAATCCAAAGATAGATTGTTTTTCGTACAAATCAACAATCAAGAAACCAACTACTTACACAAAGAGAACAGTGTTGTCTGATATTGCTCGCATTTATGATCCATTAGGACTGCTTGGTCCAGGGATAACAAAAGCAAAAATCTTCATCCAAAGACTTTGGTTATTGAAGCTTGATTGGAACGATCCGCTACCCGAAAGGATAATTAAGGAGTTGGCAACTTTTTATTGATTCAATGCAATCTATCAACAATTTGAAAGTCAGTAGATATGTTTTACAGGACAGTTTTTCTGAGATACAAATTCATGGATTTTCAGATGCATCAGAACACGCATACGGAGTAGCCATCTATTTACGCAGTAGAAGTGACAATAATTTATCTTCACATTTGCTTTGCAGCAAGTCCAGAGTAGCTCCACTAAAACCGCTGACAGTACCTCGACTGGAACTCTGCGCAGCTGTACTGCTAGCACAGCTTGTTGCAAAGGTGGTGCCTTTATTGAAATTGGACATCAGTAAAATATGTCTGTGGTGTGACTCAACTAGCCCTAACACAGATTCCTGTGTTAGGGCTAGCCGGACCTATACGCAAACTGAAGCCCCACAGTCGGCTTTCCCGAAAGCAGGTACTCCCGAGAGCTTGACACAAGGAGTAGTGACCAGCCGATTGACACCCGTGAGGACGACTAAGGTGCCTCCCGTTTAGCTGAAGAAGAGGCCAAAGTAGTGTGTTGGGGACAGTACCTCGCCCCTCAACTCCTTTCCAGCGACACGGGTCTCCACGCACAGTAAACACGTGGGCAGTTTTCTCGCCACTCGAGAACTAGAGACAAGAACTGTTCTAGTTTCTCGTGACAAGCCCCGAACTCCGTAGAGAGAAACCACAAGGGAGAAGGGAAGGGAAAAAGTTCCAGCCAAGGGGAGAGGAGACGGAAAAGAGGATAGATCACCGGGGCTCCAGGATCGTGACGCCCGTCTCACCAAGAAGATGATCCCCTGAAGGGCTAGGGTACCTCGGGATTGCCACACCCGTACTCACAAAAGTGAGCCCCCTGAGGGGTAAGTACTTTTTGATTTATTTGTCATTAATTTTAAAAGTAACCTTATTTTTAAGCAATTTTATATAATAAATGTTATAATTAATATAGAATGCATTATTTTACATTATTACATTTGTACGTCGTTTAATTGCGATGCGCGTTCTCGTGTTATATATTAATACAGCGCGTCCTCCCCATGATTAACCTATTTATTTTACTTCTATATGCTATATATCTTATAACTTGACTGTACACCGCTGAAATCAATGCTTCCATATGTTAAATATCTTGCAACGTAACTATACACCGCTAAAATCATGGCCGATTAGCCGTTGGTGAGCTTGGCGAATAAATACGCACCGGCGCCAACGGATCCGCTGCAGAAGCGTCAACGGAAGCGCCAACTTTGCGGAAGAAAACCCACTTTTCATTTATTACGTGCTTCCCGTAACCGCTTCCTTGGGAAATTAAATTATTCGAATAATTTTCCCTTCTCGATTTTAGTACTGTAAAATTAGCAAAATGGGAACTACGGTGTTTTGAAAATTAGCAACACGGTAAATAAAAAATGTTATACATTCACATAAAAACCTTGAAAAATACCTCAAATCTCTTTGCAATGTCACTGAAGACATGGTTTAGGTTACATAGTTGATAGCACGAAAAAGTTCCGTTATTACACTAATCATAGCTATTACAATTAAGCGTGAATATCTTTGATACAAAATAAAGTTACTATGTTGCGATTTTTAAAATATTCCTTTTAGAAATTCAATAGCGACAAAAAATCCAAAATTTTCTTTACCTTTAGAACTCGAGTGAAATACTCTGCAACATTCAGAGCCCTGCCTTTCACATTATTTATAACGCTCTGCATTTTTGTTTTAAAATTTGTTAAGCTTCGAAAATTTTGTACACTACAAATGCGGTAACACACCACTAACAAACGTCTCGTGACAATTTATCGCTCTCCTTGCTTCCTGCGCTGTTGTCTGTGTTTGGGAAGTGTTTGATGAGTTGAGTAGTTTTAGTCATTCTACAACATTTTAAAAATTATGTGGCAGTACTTTATGATTTGCTTACGATTGTATGGATTGCATGACAAGCGGTAAAGCAAACGTCAATACAATTTAAAAGGCAAACTTCAATCATATCATTTTATTTAAAAACACGCTATCAGTTCTTTTTATGCAATTAAACATAGTTTAAAAATGTATGGAATACAGAGCCCTTACGTTTGTTTTTAGACACATGGATTTGAATTTATTTGCAAGATAAATTTACCACCTACTAATGAATTCATTTCAGATTTTTGTCACATACACATGGTATAAAAGAGGATGCATTTTCACTTCCAAAAGTACTCAGTTATTTATTTAATTAATTTAAACCAATACCGTGGCTACCAGTTTGGGTTGTTCCTTATTATTTTTTAAGCTATTTATTTTCATATGGAAAATTTCTATCTCAAGAATTCCAATATTTTCTCATTTCCAAAGATTCTCACAGCCGTTATTTGACTAAGCAATCGACAATTACCAACCTTTAATTTCGGTCACAGCCGTCAATTTCGGTCACCTAGGGTTGCGGTAGCTAAATGTTTCCGCTGACCTTAAGCAAGACTTACCATATTTTTAGAGTCTAGTACAAAATATATTTTTAAAATTACTTAAAAGTCTTCGTAGTTTAATGAAATATTAAACTTTATTTATTCAGTCGTATTTTTCACTAGACATGACTTCAAAAAAATGTTTTGTTTGATTTAATAACATCATTAAATTCTCAAGAAAGTTTTGAATTAATTTTAACATTTAACAGATGTTTAACAGTAGATACTGAAAGTCTATCTCTTTCTGCAGCCCTAATGTTCCCCACAAAAGAAAAAAACTGTGAACTGGAGTAGACGAACCAGGCAAAGACATCAGAAATTCAACCATTTTAGAAATATTGCTACATGAAATATCAGTCTTTTGAAATACCATAAAACTTGCTTTCCACTTCTTTTCAATAGTATCCGGCACTTTTTCAGAATCTCAACCACAGCTTATCCTTTGGGTTTGAATTACCTGGTTCAACAATGAGCGTTTATCAGCTTATAAACTTATAAAGCCTGAGTAAAAACTTTAAGGCCAGTAAAAATTTTGAGAAAATAGAAACATTTAAACTGAGGAATTAAAATACCATTTGATTGATAATTATTGAGCTTAAATAAAAGTAAAAAAGTAGAAAATTAATTTGCAAATATTTTATTACTAGAAAATATTACAGAACACACAGATGAATATTTGAGCCTGAGTAAAAACTTTAAGGCCAACATAGAAAATAACATATAAAAAAAATTTTAAATTCTTAGAAGGTTGTGTAGGAGCCATTTCTTCGAATTACTTCAAATATTCTTGTTTTTATGGATGAAACGAGTTTTTGACAAAGGGTGGAATCGGTTTTATACCATTCATCTTCGATAGTAGATTTGAGCTCTGTTGTTGATGTAAAATGTCTCCCATTTGCATAAACGCTTCTTGCTAAGTCACCCCAAAGGTTCTCGATTGGGTTGAGGTCAGGTGATCTAGCTGGCCATTTCACAGTTTCAACATTGTTGACATGGAAGCAATTTTTTGTGCTGTTACTCGAATGGATCGATGCACTGTCTTGCTGATATTTCCAATTTTCTCCAGCAAGACATTCAACATTTGGCAAAAGATAATTTGTTAGGACATTTTGGTATCCTTGTGAATTCATTCTACCTGAAACGAATGCAATTGAGCCCACACCATTGTAAGCAAAACAGCCCCTCCACCTCATGACACCTCATGACAGACCCTCCATTTAATTGGCGCTTGGAGAATATTTCTTTTTCATTTCTTATATCATGCCAGTAGAAATTCCAGCCATCTGGTTCATCCAAATTCCATTTTGTTTCGTCAGAAAAAATAATTTCTATCCATTGGTTGTCCCAGGTCATGACTTTCTGGCCAAACTTCAAACGCTCTATTTTGTGTCTATGCAGTAACTGAAGCTTATCCTTTGGGTCAATCAATTTTGCTGTATAAGTGAAGCTTCCAGACCTTCTAATTGTGTTATATATCGTTTTTTGACAAACTTTTAAACCTGTCGTCGGAATCAGTTTCCTGGTTGAGTACTTTCCAGTAGATACAAGTTGGCAAACTCTTCTTTCATCACGCGAGGACAAAGCTTTAGGTCTTCCCCCAGCATTCTTTTTACCATAATTGTCTTTCAATTTAAAAAAAATTGTTGACTACAGTCTTTGATCTTCCTATCTTTATCACAATAGCACGACTACTCATTTCTGTTGAAGATAAAGCTTCGATCTCTCCTCTTTCACAATCAGTTAACTTCTTACCATTCGCCATCTTCACAAAGATCATCAATACTTCAAAGAAACGTATGACAAATATGAAAATTGCAGCGTTGTCACAAGCTAGTAGTTGCAATGGTAATTACACGATTATATTATATTTATTTTTAAAAATGACTGGTGGCCTTAAAGTTTTTACTCAGCCAGAAATACTAATTTTGTAAATAACCACATGTTTCTCATAATTATGTATTTACAAATTATGTTTATAGCATTTATTTCTTATCAATGAACTTTAATAATTAATATTATTTGAATCCCTTTTACTTCATTTTACATTTTCTCAAAAATTTTTACTGGCCTTAAAGTTTTTACTCAGGCTGTAGAATCTTTTGTAATTCCATTAACAACTTGTGTACTCCCTTCTAAACGACAACAAGCAATATCAGTTCGTAAATTTATCCTCTGAAACTTACTAACTTTATCAAAACTGGTTCTTTACACATTAAGTATTAGATACTACAATTATAAAAATTGTCTACGCTTAAGAAGAATTTTTATTCCTGAATATCATTATTTTCTTTTTTAATGCATACTAATTCTTTGGCAGAATACGTGGGTGTTTCTTTCCTGAAGTTAAAAAATTAATTCAGAGTATGCCTGAAATGCTTCTGTTGCTGTGATAGAATAAGCTCCTAATTTAAGATCTACACTGGAGCTACTACTACACTACTAAGAGCCCCTTTCTCTGGAATGTAACATACAATCTTATCCTTAAGCAGCCATGGCCTGAACATACAACTGTGGTTACTTATGCCGATGATACCGCGTTCATAGTGCGAGGTAAGACTCGTGATCAACTTCAAGCAAACTCCCGTTCCATAGTTCCATAGTTAGTTACGGGAGTTAAACTCACAGGAGACCTGTTCTTTGTTTCAGAGTAGATGTGAAGATTTTAAATTGCAAATATCTGAAGAGAAATCGCAAATTCTGATCATTCCTAAGAAGGGTATTTCTATGACTCGACAGCCGAGAATAACCATAAATGGCAAGCGTCTTCGTATTCAACGTGAATTTAAATACCTTGGAATTATTTTCGACGACAAACTCAATTGGATTCCCCATGTGTTAGATCTCAAGAAGCGTACTGCTGTGATTGCTCAACGCCTTAAACTTATGAAGGGAATCCACTGGGGCTTAAATCCACATCTTCTTAAAGTTTTATATGCAACAGTAACTGAAAAGATTGTTTCATATGGTGCTGCAATTTGGGCAGCACCAATGCAAGGACGCAAAGTCCGACATTTAAATAGTATACAGAGACCATTTCTCTTAAATATCACTCGTGCCTTCCCCACATCACCAACTAACGCCCTTGCACTTGCAGCTGGAATCTTGCCTTTACCTATTGCGGTTGAAAAGGACGCAGCTTATCAGTTGATTAGACAACTTGGCTGTTCAGTTCAGTTTGGAGATCACTCTTTCTCCTCCTATGATTACGAAGCAGCAATAAACAGAGAAGATCAACACCCCTCCCTCTATGGAACGGGAGTTAAAGTTAATCTCAAACCGAGTCATCAAGTTTCTCATGCTGATTTGGTCTTTTATACTGATGGCTCTAAATTGGAAGATCAGGTTGGCTGTGCATATATAGCCATACTGCAAGATCAGACAACTCTTCACCAGTGGAAATGTCAATGTCACCTGTCTTCTTTTAACAGCGTCTTCCAGAGTGAGGCTATTGCTATTCGACAAGCCATACAAACAATCATTAATCATCGATATTCACATTCCTATGTTCTTACCGATAGTCTCTTCACACTGTATGCCATTTTAAATCCTCTGCATTCATCCCCCATTATTGTGGACATTCAAACTAGCTTGTCTCGACATAAAAATCTACACATTTGTTTAGAATGGACAAAAGCTCATGTGGGGAACTACGGTAATGAAACTGTCGATAGGCTTGCTAAAGAAGCAGCACAGAATCACGAGATAACACAGACCTTGACGGTTTCACGCCCAGTATCTAATCTAAAGCGTCACTTACTTCTCACAGCCATCTCCTTGTGGCAAAATGCATGGAGTTCGGAGGAAACTGGTCGCCGAGCATTTGCCCATGTCCCTAAAGTAGATTTAGACCGATTAATCATGCCACCACAGCTGATCTTCTACATTACGGGCCACGGGCCTTTTCCCTTATATTTCGAGAGACATGGACTCTCTTCCTCAGCACTCTGTAGTTGTGGACAACTGGGCAATCCAGAACACTATCTAATCGATTGTCCACTTACTACTGAATTCCATATTCCTTTTCCACCAACGGATAGGACTGCCTTTAGTCGTTTTTTGATTAAGCAACGGCATCAAGTCAAAAAGATAGTCCGTTTAATTGACAAACTGATGAATCTGGGACTTGATCTTTGTGCCTTATAATATCGACATATGATTCAACTTCTTCAACTGCTTGTATATATTATAACCCATCTACTTTTATGCTCTGAAGTGTTTGTAACCATTGTAATCTATTATAATCCATCTGTTATAAGTCGCTGTGTATAGCAGCAGTCAAATATTTGTATATTCTCTCTCAGCATCTTTTTCTAAGTGCAATCAGGTAATATTGTCTATAACAGTTGTCCCTGTACCTATGGTACATTTAATACCAGGTGCTGTTTAGTATCTGTAT